CCGGCCGCCATCTTGGTTGGCAGTTAATTTGCATATTGCCCTGATTAGCCAATGGGAAGGGTAGCAGAGGTACGGCTAATTACCATGTTTCTCTATTATTAGATAGGATTAGTATGTTAGTAGATGATATGCTATGAAAAATTAGAGCAGAGTAGGAAGGGTTAGGAGTGATTATGTGAAGGAGTGTAGAAGACAGTAATGGGCTAGAGATAAGAGACTTTGGGGAGTTGTTAACTTGTACGTGATATTTAAAATTATGAGACTAAATGAAATCACTAAGGTAGTATTAGATAATGGTGAAGAGTACCAAGAACAGAATTCTGGTCCACTATTAAGCTATAAAGAAGAGGAAAAACTAGCAAAGGAGGCTAAGGAAGAAAAACCAAGAGTATGGGTCCTGAAAGTCATACAAAGAAAGTATATCAAATAGGAAAAAGGAATTAACTTGTGAAAAGGTGATAACAGGCCAAGGAAGGGAAGAGTCAGATGCTGCTGCTATGTTGAATATAATAAAAGGCTATTATGCAAATCAACCGAATGGCGGAACAACTGGTTGCTATGATGTGCACTGACCACCAGGGGGCAGACACTCAACACAGGAGCTGCCCCCTGGTGGTCAGTGTGCTCCCACTGGCTGAGGGAGAGTGCTGCTCAGCCAGAAGCCCTAAGCTGGGCACACGGCTGGTGAGTGCATCGGTGGTGGTGGGAGCCTCTCCTGCCACCACAGCAGTCGGACATCCCCTGAGGGCTCCTGGACTGCGAGAGGATGCAGGCCAGACTGAGGGGCCCTCCCCCCCCCCACCACCAAGTGCATGAATTTCGTGTACCGGGCCTCTAGTGTTGAATAAGAAGAGGACTGAGATCTGTTCATTAGATTTTGCAACATGGAAATTGTTGGTGACATTTTTTTACAAGAATGATGTTGGTTGGAGTAATTGGAGCAGAAGCCTGCTTGAAATGGGTTTAAGAGAAAATAAAGAGCATTTGGAGATATGAGGAATTAACAAGTGTTATAATTACAGTGACCACATGACCACATTTTACTGCAATTCTCCCATTCATCACTTGTGTCCCAGCATAATTTTTAATAGTGCCTCCTTTCATTCTCATTTGAGTAAAAAATTATGTAGTCATTGTCATTATTCTTTTATCACACCCAAATTTGACCAATGGTATCCCTTCAAAGGTTAGCTTATGTGACTTTTTGAGAGAACCCTATTAGTCCTTCCTTTTCTGTCATAACAAAATATTGCAGGGCTTATACTTTTTCTGCCTCAGATCTGTGGTCAGCCATTTTTTCTAAGAAGTTCTGTCTCATTTTAGTGGTATTTAGTAAGCAAGCATTGAAATGTGGATAGCTTTTGATTGGGGGAGGAGAGGGAGTGAGAAAGGTAGGTGGCCAGATAGAGAAAGGCAGTTCACAAATTAAAAATTTTAAAGCAGACAGTTTACCAAAGATGCTGAGGTTGGAGAATAGAAGATGTATTCAAGGGATTCTATGTAACACTGAATGGATGGCATATGAGACCGCCTCGCATAGGAGTCCTGAGCCTGTGGGTAAGATAATGGTAATCCAAAGGAGGGAACAAAATTCAACAGACACTACAGCAAAGAAAGCAAGGAGGGAGATGATTGTATAACAGAAACATGACAAAGAGGCACGCAGTGTCAGATGCCTGAGCTGTCTAATCTGAGCAGCAAAGGCTGGAGATGCCATTAATTTCAACAAAGAACACAGGAATCGGTGAAGGAAGAAGACAAAGGTTATTGCCGGTTTTTGTTGTTTTTTAATTTCTTGGGAATATGATGACAGAGTGTAACCTATTGAATTTCCATCTGGTAGAAGTGTATTAACAAACAGTAGAACAATATTTAGGAAATAAGGTTTTTATTGTTACTAAAGGATAACCATAATGCATTTCCCATCTGTGAAAAAGCATGAAGATTTGGATGTCAATAACTCTCTCACAAGTTATTTCAGATTTTTTATTTCAGGGAAATGCATTTCTTGCCTCATTTTCCAATAGAAAAAAAAAAAAAAAAATCTCCAAGAATCCAGACTTTTCTTGGCACCTTATAATTCTTTGTATTGGGAATTAACCCCTCCTAATCTAAACGTCATATTTTAGTTTCATCACATTTTGGAAAATATAAGCAGGTTTTATATTTTATTAAAAGCTCAACCTTAATGAGAACCTGTTGGAATTTAAAATGTCTATGTGATCACTGCCTTCAAGTTACTTTTTGTTTTGATACAGTATCCCTCTTCATAGCCTGATATAAAATAGTTTGGTTGGAAACATACTTTCCCCAACACCATTGGTGATATAGTTAAGAATTAGTGTATAGTAGTCTTCCTTTATCCTCAGCTTCTGTTACCCAGTCAGTTGCAGTCCGAAAATATTAAGTGGAAAGTTCTAGAAATAAACAGTTCATAAGTTTTAAATTGTGCACCTCTATGAGTAGCAGATGGTGCAATCCCACATTGTCCTGCTATGTCCCCCCAGGATGTGAACCATCTCTTTGTCCAGTGTATCCACATTGTATATGCTGCCCACCTGTTAGTCACTTGGTAGCCATCTGGGTTTATCAGATTGACTGTCATGCTATCACAGTGCTTGTATTCAAGTGACCCTTATTTTACTAAATAATGGCCCAAAAGTGCAAGAGTACTGATGCTGGCAATTCAAACATGTCAAAGAGAAGTCATAAAGTGCTTATTTTAAGTGAAAACATAAGTACAGTCCAGTAAGGTATTTTGAGAGAGAGAGTCCATAGTCACATAACTTTTATTACAGTACATTGTTATAATTCAGTTTTATCATTGTACTCTAGTTGTTGTTAATCTCTTATTGTGCCTTATTTATAAATTAATCTTGATCAGAGGCATCTATATATATAAAAGCCTAAGTGACTGTTATGACCGGTAGACTGAATGATCGGTAGACCGGCTGCTATGATGCGCACTGACCACCAGGGGACAGATGCTCAGTGCACTCCCACAGCCAACCTCCCGTGGTACCTCCCCCCAGCCAGCTGGCCCCGATTGGCCCTGATTGCGACTGTGCAAGACAGCCCCAATCGGCCCCAATCTCCGGCCAGGCTGAGGGACCCCACCCATGCATGAATTTGTACACCAGGCCTCTAGTGTATGTATAGGAAAAAATATAGTATGTATATAGGATTTGGCACTATGCACGGTTTCAGGTATTTACTGGGGTATCAGTCACTTGGAACATCAGTCTCTCTAAATTGATGAAATTGCCAATGTCATTAAAATAAGTAAAAATTTCTGTAAATGTAATAATTCTTAAATTAACGTTTTTAATTATTTTAATCTTATTTTTATTAAGGAAATGTTTTTATCCTGGAATTTTAGAGCACATTGAATGTTCTAGCTTTCATAGAATATAACTGTTGTGGGGTGATTAGCTTTTAAATTCATTTTGCTGTGACTTTTTTCTTAGCATGGTCATCTCTTACTGTGTGATAGAAATTGTTATCTTCTAAAAGTTGAAAATTCATTTAACATCAGATTTCTTGAGAGCAAAACAGAGGAAGAAGTTTATCTCATAATAATAATGAGTTTAAAATTAGACTCATAACTAAAATTATTTTGTTTTATTTTTTTACAGGAATTGAAACCTGACATAGTAACTAAATCTGCTCTTGGTGATGATATCAATTTTGAAAAAATCTGCAAAAAGGTATATCTGCAGTGGGTTGTATTTTTTTTAAAAGTTCCTTATTTATATTTTTTACTTTTTTCCTTAATGAGAAAACTTATGAAGAATCCAGGTATTATTAGTATATAATGAATTTTCCCCACTTGACCTTCAATATTGCCACCAAAAAAATATATTTTTAAAAAAAATATATTTTATTGATATTTTACAGAGAGGAAGGGAAAGGATAGAGAGTTAGAAGCATCGATGAGAGAGAAACATCGATCAGCTGCCTCCTGCACACCCCCTACTGGGGATGTGCCCGCAACCAAGATACATGCCCTTGACCGGAATTAACCCTGGTACCCTTCAGTCCGCAGGCCGACACTCTATTCACTGAGCCAAACCTGTCAGGGCCCAAAAAAATATTTTATGGTAATTTATGAATTTCCTTTGCTGTGTTATCACACCTTCAAGGTCCTTAAAGGCACTGACTTCTCTGCAGTTAATTGATGTTAGATATGTTAAATGTTGACATAACTTAATATGATATTTATGTGTTAGATAACATTTGTCAATCTTACTAATTCAAACAATTGTTATTTTTATTCTTTCCAAATAATTTCCATGAATATTTCCCTCAACCCCTGCCATTCACCCTGTGAATGATTTTTTTAAACTCCCTTTTACAAATGAGAAGAGCTGAGAAAATGAAGTGAGATGATTAAGCTTATACCACTGTTATGCTGTACAGTTAGGACTTTCATCCAGTTGTTCTGCTTCTTGGATTTGCAACTCCTGCTTCTTCTTTACTATTTGCCTTTTTATATTTCCGCTCATTTTGCTAATGCCTACAATTAAGAGAATTTCTACCTGAGAACAGATTTTGAGTTGATTGATTTTCTACATTGTTTTTCTGTTTTTGCTTTCATTGACTTTGCTCTACTCTATATTATTTGTTTTTTCTTGCATTTGTACTTTGCTCTTTTTCTAGTTTCTGAATGTGGAAGCTTAAATTACTGATTTTATACCTTGTTTTCTAATGTAAGCATTTAATGCTATAAGTTTCCATCTAAGCACCACTTTAGCTACATCTCGTATATTTGATATATTTTCATTTCATAGTTCAAAATGTTTTGAATTTCCCCTGAAATTTTATCTTTAAATGATGGTTTAATTAGAACTATATTCTTTAATCTCTGAGTAAATAGGGGATTTTCCAGGTATATCTTTTTTTAAATTTTTATTGTTGAAAATATTACATATATCCCCTTTTTTCCCTCATCAACCCCCTCCACTCCTCACCCCAGGCCCTTACCACCCCACTGTCTACTTCCATGGGTTATGTATGCATATATGCCTACAAGATCTTTGGTTGATTTTTCCAGATATATCTTTGTTACTGTTTTGTTTTTTTATATGACATTTTATTTTTATTTTTTAATTAAATCTTTATTGTTCAGATTATTATATTTGTTCCTCTTTTTCCCCCGATAGCTCCCCTCCACCTGGTTCCCACCCCACCCTCTGCCCTTACC